AAATTCGAAGTGCTCTAGCTATTATGCCCTTTGGGCTCCAATGTAAGTGGGAAATAGAAACTTCATGAAGTTTCCTTATGCTTCCTTCACAACCACTTCAGGTGCTTTGTAACGACTGACAACTGAGGATGTGTCCAAGCCAGCTCCAACATCACGCTCCACACGCAAACGGCAAGTGCGAAGCGCATGATCTGGCAGCGACGCCTCCTGCAGTCGTTGAGCAGGAACTATACATCCGAATCGGACGAACCAGGCAGGTCAGTGTTGCAGTGTACTTTGAGTAAAGGTCCCCAATTGGTCTCTGCACTTGGAAGGCAAGTCAGGGGAGCATCTTCTGTGGACAATGGGGTAATGAGGAACACAGCGAACACAGCTCCTTGGAAGTCCAACTGCGGCGTTGAAAGCTACAAAGAGCGCATCGATGCGCTCCAAGCGGTGAAAACAAAAAAACAATATGGCGCTCCTCCAGAGCTTCCACCTCTCCCTCAGCGCCCTCACCTTGCTTCTCCTTCCAGCGCCTCTGCCTCTCTTCTCTCGCCTTCAGTCGCTCTTCTCGCTGCTTCTTCTTCTCCGCGCTGATGGGGAAATCCGCGGGCGGCACCACCCGCAACTGCAGGAAACAGTCGAACATGGCATCGATCTCAAAGGTGCTGGGCTCTCGCAGCGCGACCTGCGAAGCCGCCTCCAGCAAAGCATGGCTGGGCCTCAGAGCTTGAAGAAAAGGAAGGAGCGAGAGAGAGAGAGAGAGAGGGAGAAAACAAAAGCCGCCAACAGCACCACCCAATGGACATCCAGAGACTCACCATGGTCTTAACGTTTTGCATGGTTCACCGCTTCAAAATCTCAAAACCGGATGATTCATCATGTACGTGAACGGCCGCTGTTCACAACATATGGGACCTATGGGATTTTCCATGACGTCAGAGGAGTTGTTCCACGTCGATGTCCTCGTTGTCTTGGCTCCGCATTCCTTCTTGGCCGCCCGCCCCCCGGCGCCACCGGGACCGCTTCGTTCGTTCGGTCGGACCACTCCGGGACGCCAACGGGCCCGCGCGGCGGCTTGGAGCAGGCGCCGCATCAAGGTGGCACTGAGTTCTCCTCCGCTAACGGGACCACCGCGCGCGTCGCGGGAGCCGGAGCCGGGTTCCCCCCGGGTGGAGCGGGGTGGAAAGCGACGGTCTGGGTTCTGGGAGAGAAGAGGAGAACAAGACATGTTTAAAGACTTAAAGAGATGACCCGAGTTTTCAGGACTTGTCCTTTACTTCAATTTAATCAACAAAATGGTTGGTCGAACTGACCTTCTAAGGGTCTAGGGAGCAAGGCGCGTGTGCTGACACCACCTCCATGGACGTTGAGGACCACCTCAGTGGATTGCCTTCGGCGGCGGCGAAGAAGAAGCACCGAGCACCGCCGAGCGCCGCTCGGCTCCTTGCCGCTCCAGCAGTTGCCTCGCCAACGCGTCGCGCAGCTCGGCCGGACCGAAGCCCTGCCGCGAGTCCACGTAGGCGGAGAAGAGCAGCACCAGCGCCTCGCGCCCATACGCGCGGGAGCGCCCCCCCCCTTCCAAGAGAGGTTCAGTGACCTGAACTAGGACCCTACTGGGTCCCTATGGGACAGTCTACAGGGTTCTTCAACCTCTGTTGGCTGGAGCCCAACCCTCAAGTAAAGCCACCCTTGACGCACGTCAGCCGCTGCTCGTGCGTCCAATTCATTTCGGAGTCCAGGAAAGACCATGAGATTAAATGGCCCTTATTACCCTGGGAGTCAAAGACTATAAAAAGAAGGGTCTTTAAGGGAACTGAAAGGACACTTACTCCAGCCGGTCAAAAATATCGTCAAACTGGACTTCAGCCGGGTTATAGTCGGTGACCCGAAGTTCGGAATGTCCTGCAACCCATCGGCGGCGCGCCATGGCAGAGAGTCTTTGAACTTCTGGTGCGGTTTCGGGGCAAAGACTCTGGGATGTAGACTAGAGTGAAACTGACGATCAGGAATGAAACCCGGAGAGCATGAAGCTAAAGGAGTGACAAGTCCTTATCCTTTAGCCCAAAGACAGTAGGCCACCCGGAGAGCATGAAGCTAAAGGAGTGACAAGTCCTTATCCTTTAGCCCAAAGACAGTAGGCCCACACTCCCCAAGACATCTCTGCACAAGCTCTAGATCTGTATCAGGGAAAGTCATCTTACAAGCCATCCGACAAAATCTTCCAAACTATCCGGACCTCCAAAACCTCTCATGCACCTCCCTCACCAGGCCTCAGCTCACCCCCCTCCCTCCTCCCTCCTCCCCTGCGCCTCCACCGACGGGATGGCCTTCTCGCAGCGGCCGGGCACCACGTCCAGCAGCAGCGCGTGCCGCATGCGCACGCGCGCGAAGGCGTCGGCCAGCTCCGCCAGCGGCCGCAAGCTCCAGGCCTCGCCGTGCTCGATGCGCCGGAGCACGCAGTCGCCCACGGCCTCGAGTCGCGCGGCGCCGGAGAAGAAGGAAGTAGGGGGGGGCAGGAGTGGAAGAGGTGAGGACCAGGTAGCTGGGGAGGGGGAGGGGAAGAAAAGACGATGCAGGAGATGCCAGGAGCTTGCAACAGACGGTGTTTGGCCGTCACAGGTGAAATGTTGGGAAACACATGGAAACACCAGAGTTGTGAGGGGTCTCCAGGAAATCAGTGTTTTTGTTTTTCTGAATCTCTTGCTCAAGGTTTTGCCCCAAAAACGTGCGCAGAGAGAAGCTGTCCACTCTCAACCACACGCTGAGGCGCCCTGCGAAAAAGAGCGTTTCAATGGCCTCGGCTTTTGCAAGTGGATAAGAATCTCCTCCAAAGTCTTTCGGTCCATATCTCTAGGAACTCCTCCTACTTTTCCAAACATATTTAATATTGGCATCACCTTTTTCCACGTCGTCACTGATGTTCCATCAAGAAGACCGAACAGAAGTCTCAAACAGAGGACCTGAGCGCCTCCCAACCAGATCTCCATGCCTCTGCGTCACTCCGAGGCGCTAGGTTCGCACACGCGAAGGCCGTCATCATCGTCGTCAGCGCTTTGGGCTCCATCCAATCCATCCGTGCCATGATCAGCCGACTTGCCTGACCAGCTCGCCCCCGGAGTCGGCGAGACCGAAAAAATGGACGTGCACAGCGCAAAACCCGGCCGTGTTCAAGTAGAACGAAGCAGCAAAAGCAACGAAGCAGCAAGCCATCGCAGTAAGTCTGCGGGAAAAGCTTGGGGTGGTGATTCAGAGGTGGGTCAGAACCCTAGTTCGACTATCCCATAGGTACCCCAAGTGACAGGTCCTATTTACGGTCACTTAACCTCTCTTGGATTGCCAACCCCCCCGCGGCCGCCCCACCTCGCTACCGCATCGCCCGGCCTCCTGGAAGAGGACCTCGTCGCAGCGCCGGGCGCGCGAGAAGCCCTCCAGCAGCGACGCGGCCTGGGGGGTGCGGACGGTGGTCCTTTGTGGTGAGGTGGAACAGCCCTTTTCTCATCCTTTTTCATCTATATGTCTATGTACCACTAAGGTCAGGCCGGTGGAAAGCAAGATGGCTCTGCTGCAATCCAAAAATCCCAAGAGTGCGCCGTCTAATGGCTGACTGCAACAGCATGATGAGCAGTTGGAGCATCTTAGGAGGAAAAAGGAACGACGTACCAAAGCAAATTGACCCTTCTCTATACAAGACCTCGTTGTCCGCGAAGCTCCAAAGCCCAGAACGCCGAACCACTTGTCCCAGACAACGGAAGATCTCCGGGTGGCGCAAACCCAGTCGAGCCATGCCAAGTGCCAAGCTCCTTAGGCAGCTTGCGGGTGAGAGTGGTCCAACTGCTCCCCCCCCCCAAAGACTCACCCAGCAAGCACCTGGAAATGTTGGGGCCTTTGTGAATGAAGAAAAAGAACATGAAAAACCTGATGCTCGTGGAGGACGGTCATTCTCTTCGACTCATGCGCATCGTTGCCTCACTCGATCCTTTGGATTTTATCGGTTCACCCTGCTCACCGGTCCCTCTGGATGTTCTCTGCCTGTCCTGCCGTCCTGCATCCCAATGTCGACCAAGGCACGCCATGGTCGGTGGAGGCAAAGTGACTTGAGACTCTTCGATGGCCTCCAAGTCCTCCAAGAGATCCTGGCACAGGAGATCTGGCGGACATCATTCTCGGAGATCAGACTCTGGGCGTCGATGCTAAAGAGAACCCACCACCTCCACCGGCGGGGACCTCCAGGTGCGTTCAAAAATATGGATAAGGCCAGCCCAGGCTTCAGGCCAGTCCACACGCCAAAACAAACAGCTGGACGGGCGCTAGGGAAAAGCTCGCCGCGTTTTCCGTGGCCTTCAAGAGCTCATCCACGCGCGGATCCCTGGTGCATTCAGCGCTGCGATCCAAGGAAGCCAGGCGAGTCAGGGCAACGACGCGGTTGGAGGTGCCTGAAGCTGTTTTGAACATAATGTGGAAGGTTACTTTTTGGAAGCTAGATTGAAACATATTGAAAGCAAAAGCCTTTCTGTTCAACAAAATCTCCGACTTCAAAGAACCAAGGGCACCCCTCTGACATGCTGGCTTTCGGGGGTGTTCAACAACCCAACAGGGAGACCAGCTATCCGAGGAGGGCGTGCGACTCAGCCTGCGACTCAGCCTGATCCCTCGACTCAGCTTGGGACTCAGGTTTCTGGATGACTCACGGGCAAAACAAGAAACAGTTCTGCTCAAGGCCAAGAAGAGGTGCTCAGGAGGCCTTTTTCCTCTTTGATGATGCTCAGCACCTTCTCCTGCAGTCTGCAGTTCTCGATTGGGTGCAAATGCGTGGGGAAAAAAAGTTTTAAAAAACACAACATATCACTATCACAAACGCAATGCACCAGGAATGGAGAGGTTTTACCGTCGTTCAGTGCGCTCCTGTGAGTTGGCCCGCCGCAAACTCTGATGCAGCCGTTGATGCACCTTGGTCAACTCCTTGTTCTCGAAGAAGCCGTGCTCGTCCACGTGCACTGCTTTGGGCTTCGACAGGAAACGCGAGGAATCGACCACCGTGGCCTTGCGCTTCTTGAACTTGGTACCCCAACCGGTGTATTCGGGATAGACATAGCCTTTCGCTGCGGCATTCGCCCAGGGATCACCTGAAACTTCTGGCAAGCACGACTGCCCAGGGGGGTGTTGGATGGCTCGAACGTCCATTCTGCATTTGATGGTCCTCTACTACAAAAGGAGGCTCTCCACATTCACACCCCAACAGCAATGTACGCGCCCATCGCCGCCTAAGCCCGGCACCCCCGGGTTGGTTCAGTGGATCCGGCCGGAACTCCTGCGCCGTCACGCGGAAGCGGTGGCGCTTGCCCCGCGGCACGCCCGCGGGCGAGGTCACCAGCACCGACCCCACGCTGCCGACGCTGCCGCGGTCGTCGCGCCAGGGGCGCAGCAAGCGGTTGGCGGCGCGGCGCACGTGGTCCAGGGGCATCTGTTGCAAGAGCTCCAGGGGGCCCACGATGGTCAAGGCACCTACCGTTTTGAAGAGAAATGAGGCAGTGATGAACAAACATCCTGGTGCTCTGGAGCTGCAGGAAGCCCATCCGAAGCCATGAAAGTCCACAGCTACTGACTCAACCGAGTGACTTAAGTGACTGAAGAAAGGCCAAGTGTTCAGACCAAAGGCGCCATTTTCAAAGTGTTTGCCAAACTCCTCTTCCACTTTGGCCTCGGAAAGGCCAATGAGCAGCTCCTGGATGTGCAGCTCACCACGCGCACGGACGGCTCACCACACGGCACACAGTGTGAAATGCTGAGAGACCGTTTACAAGGATTCTGTGCAGAATCTGTGCATATCTTCACTGCCCCCTTGATCGGTTTCACAAGCATGCACAGTCTGAATCTCTACTATTCTTCTTGTGGAAGTCACAGACTGTAAAAAGAATGGTCTATATACAGTAGATCCAAGAGAGGTTAAGTGACCTTATAGGACCCTACTGGAGTACCTATGGGATAGTAGTTGGGATAGTCTATAGGGTCCTTCAACCTCTGTTGAGAGTCTAGAGGACCGGTTCCGCGCCCCGCCCGCCCCGTTCAAGCGCTCCTCGCCGATGGCCACGATCACATCGCCGGCGCGGAGGTCCGACTGGCCGGGCCAAGGGTCCAGCTCCTCCACGAGGTATCCAGCCTGGCACCACCCCAGCGGGGGCAGCTCACTCACGTCGGAGCGAGCGGTCCGGAGCGGTCGGATTGGGGGTTTGCGTCCCAACAGAGGTGGGTCAGGACCCGAGTTCGCCTATCCCAGTTGGGCACCCCAGGTGACGGGTCCTAGTTGCGGTCACTTCACCTCTCTTGGTCTTCACAGGGGATCTATCTAGGGATGTTGCTATGCAACTGGCTGGAGTCGAGGGCGCAGTCATGCGGCACTCACGATGGCCTTTTGGGACTTGGGACATCCAAACCAACTGGAATCAGATAAGATCAGCAACTGGATATCCACCACCCAATCAGACCAGCTCAGCTTGCCACCCCACCCACCCACCCACCCACCCACCACATCCCTTCGTCTCGTCTCCCCCGTCACCAAAACCCACCAAAACGGACCCACCAGACCCCACGCGGTGAGCCTCGCAGGCCGAGAGCTGCAGCCCAGCACCCGCCTGTTGATCCACCCGAAGCTTCGCCGTGCGCACGGGACCTTCCCGCGATCACCGACGCAGACGGGACGGGACAGCGATTTTCGGTGGGCCGGCTGAACGACCTCAGAAAGACAAAGGAAAAGGGTGGAGGAGTGCGGCTTTGCTTTCCGACCCCAGCATCATACACGTGTGTTTTCGTGGAGAATCATGGGGAGAATCGAATCCAAAGGAGGAACAGAACCAAACGAGTCTCCAGCTCCGGGAGACCAGTGTCTCCATTCGAAAACTGCTCTGATCTGCCCTAAGAATCCGGACCCTCAAACACATAGGGTTTGGTGAAGGGGCCCGGACCCCTGCGAAGGTGTCGGGTCCGACCCCTGCCATGGAGAGCCCGTTCGGATTCTTAGGGTGAGCCATCTTGGGGGGGATGGGTCAAAATCTGAAGCCAAAGACCAGTCCCAGGCCACCAGGCCATGTCCGGGACGTCCGGTCCTCCTGGTGCCATGAGCCACAGCCATTGGCAGTGGGATCCAGCCAAAAAACCAACAGAGGTGGGTCAGGACCCGAGTTCTAGTTCGCCTATCCCAGGCCAGGGCACCCCAGGTGGACCAGGTCCTATTTACGGTCACCGGCTACCTCTCTTGTAATGGCACTCTCACGAAGAGCTGGAAGGTCGCAGACCTCCGCAGACAGCCTCCCCCACCTGCTGCGAGACTCACATCGAGGTTGGGCTCTGAGACCATGACGGTCCGGTCATGAAAGTGCTCCAGTTGCAAACACGGATAGTAGCCATCACGGCTCGATCCAATCATGTCCTCGCCATGAAGCACAACTACTTTTGGGTAGCACAAGTGCTTTTGGTGCGCTTACCGTAAGCAGTTGTGGTGTAATTACTTGATGGCTGGAATGTAGCTCAGGCGATGTTCGACAATGCGAACTCACATCAATTGATCACCAATAATGCGCAGTCAAGAACAAGCGACAAGTATATAAATTGACGCGCAATCGTTGACGCTGGATTTCTCATGATTTCTCCACCTGCTGGCCTGCTGGCTTCCAAGTAGAAATCATCTGCATGAAACACGACTTATTTTCGTCATTGTTCTTCACAGGGGAGGGGAAATAAATAATGCTGCTTCACTCTAAGTTGTCCATGCGAAAAAAAACCTTATCCCTAACCCTAAAACTCTCCCTGTCCATGCGAAAAACCTTATTCCTAACCCTATCCCCGTCTCCCCTTGTTCCACCTACCACTTGACTCCAATCAGTCAGCTCTGCCCAGCCGGTCCAGCAGCTCAAACTCCGTGCAGATCTGCGTGCCGAAGAACACGTCGCGCCACGCGTCCAGATCGTCGGACGCGAGACGCAGGGATCGGAACTTGCGCCTCGGGGGCAGCTGAAAGGTCCAGCTGAGAGGTTGAACTCACAGCCCATCCCATGCAGTCCATCCCATATGTACCCCCCCTGGGAATCAAGTCGACTATAAAAAGAATGGTCTGACTAGTAGGTGACCCGAGTTAAGGAATATCCTTTACATCAGTCATCAGTCAGTCAAAATAATCAAAATATAGTCTTTGGACTTCTAGGGTACCACCAAAAAGGGATAAAAAGGGTCTCACTTGACATGGAATCTGCATGATCCTAGAGAGGTTTTGAGAGACATGAACCTCAGAACCCGACCTTAGTGGTACATATGGGATGGGCGAAACAAAGGGCTGCTCAACCTCTATAGGATCATCCAGATTCCATGTCATGCGAGTCAGAGGTCGGAAGCTTTCACATGCCTTTTATCCAAAATCGATCGGTATGTCTCTGCCAAGAACAGTTTTTCGCCAGGCTTCAAGAAACGAAACCTTGCGACATGCTCAGTCGAGGCTGTCGACACGCACCGAGGACACTGCAGGACCCAAGCGGTTTTTGGCAGGTGGGAGTGAAGGGGGGCCACTGGCCAGCAGAGACTTTTCTGATCTCAAGCAGTTCCAAAACCCCTGTGCAACATCTGAACGCAACAACCAAAGGCGCTTATCAGCATCCGATTTGGCGTGGGCCATCGCCTGGCGAGGAAACGAGACGACGACGGCCTCCAGAACGACTATGGCACGTCAGTGGGAGGGTTTTTTTGGGCAGTTGTTCGAGACTTTGCCAACAGAGGTTGAAGGACCCTATCCCATAGGTACCCCAGTAAGGTCCTAGTTCAGGTCACTTAACCTCTCTTGGTGGAGATGAAGGAAATCAACTATGGTGGGGCCAACGACTTTCATTGCCCAACTTCGCTTGGAGCCCCACGTCCAGAACTTGGCCTTCGGAGATTCGAAGCCAGCGGCTTCCGAAATCACCCGTCCGGGACCCCCGAAAGCCACTTCACAGGACCCGCCACTGTAAAAAAGAACATGACACGGCCATTAGGACCGCATGATTCTGACCTACCCATCTGTCACCCATCTCTCACCCCCCAGGGTGTCCCTCAGCGCCGGCCGCGACGTCGGAGCCCACCACTCTCGCATGGGCTCGGCCACCCAGTTACCGGGTCCGAACCCAAAGAAGAAGGACCGGTGGCGCCAACGCGGTCCGGGGCCCTCGAACCGCTCGGACGGACGGCTTCGACACGCCACGACACGCCACGACAAGCCTCGAGGGGTCGAGCGACCTGGCAGGGTTGGCCGCGCCTTCGAGACCTTGATGAAGGACGCGTGCGCCTGGCGGGGCGCGCCCAGCGCCAGACTTGGGGCGGGGCGGGGCGCGCCCAGCGCCATAACCCGGTGTTTGGAGGGGCGAAGAGGAGGAGCCTATTTTAGAACCCGGAACACCTGGGGTACCAGACTGGGATAGTCTACATTTATGGGGTCCTTCAACCTCAGTTGGTTGGAACAAGACCGTGTTTCGGTGTTGTTGCAACAAGCATTTTGATGTCGCCGCTGGTGTAGCTTCGTAGGCTACTTGGAGAACAAGACCAAAACGGTGTTGTTGCAACAAGCATTTGATTTGATGCGCCCCTGGTGTGGTTGTCTGTTCCATTCTATGTCGAGTCGAGCTTATATCAAAGAAGCCTTCGTTCCAATCACCTCCGAAGATCATCAAAGGGTCACAAGCCTTCAAATTCATACCATATAGTACCTCTTCTTGGCTCACATGGTGCTTTCAGCACCTGCTCCTTTCCGCTCACACGTCCTGAACCGACCCCTCCCACCGACCGCTCACGCCTTGAAGTCGTGCGGCTCCTCTCCCTCTTCCAGCCACGACTTCGCGCTCTCGTCCAGCACCGGAAAGCCATGCCGCATGAAGGCGCTCGAGAGCGCGTCGTGGATGGCTTGCAGCATGTCGTGCGGCTCGGTGCGCAGCCGCGTGAAGAGGATCCTCGGGACTCCGCGGCGCGCGGAGCGACGCGAAGCGCACCGGACCGGAGCGGACCGGCGCGGACCGACGTGGGTGTGCCGGGGGGAAACGGGGAACAGGAGGTGTGGAAGCGCCATCCATGTGCCACTTAAAGGTGTTTGCCAAGGCAAAACGGCCCTACGTTACACTCGTGGGCGCCCCATCTCTGCGTTCCCTCATCCCGTATGAGACCCACTGGGTGTCTTGGCTTGCATGAGTTGCATGTCTGGATTCCCTTCGATATCAGGTCTCGAAACCCAACTTGCTCAAAGTCCGAAGGTCTTCAGCATGTCTAAACCAGTTCCTCTGGCCCCTGGCCCCGGCATGCTCGCAAGAACCTTGCGAGCTCCCGCGGTCCCAAAACCACGGACAAAAGACGAGCTGCTGGCCATTGAAGGAGCTGATGCCGCTGGCGACGATCTTCACCGGTTGATCCCCGAGAAAGTCTCGGATCTCTTCTCCTGCTTCATGGCAGGCCTGAAGCCGGGGGTGACATGAGAGGAATGCAGGTCGTGACCTGCGTATTATGTGGTGCGTGTTGACGGGGGAGGATCCAAAGATTCCGAAGTGAAGAAACTCAAGAAAAGGAACCGAACTCTCCCCTTTCAAGTCAGTCAGATGGACCAATTTTTATTCTAGTTCCATGATGTTCCATGATGTTTTTGCATCTTTTCTATTTATGAAGGTCTGTATAGTTCACCAAAGACACCCTCATGGGCTCACCACACCTCACCAACTCACCTGACGAGGACCTCCCCTCCGCCTCGCCCTCGCCTCCTGCGCCTCGCCGCGGCGCTCCGGCGGAATGGCCGTGAGCAGCAAGGAGCTGTGCAAGCGCCTGAGCGGCTGGGCGACAGCAAGATCGACGGTGGTGGAGGGGCAGCGGAGGTCCAGGGGAGGTGGAAGTGTTGGAAAGTCGGGGTCCCAAGCAGAAACCATTCTGGCTGTTCCAAATGAGAAGAATTGAGATCCTTTACATATAATAGGACGTGGCGAGAGCTGGGGAAAATGTCCATTTGTTTGGTGGTTGGGACTGGGTTCTGGCTCTCTCTTGTTGCTTGCAAAAAGCCCTTCCTCCTGTTGTTGGGAGCTTGGAGCAACCCACTCAGACCTACACCCTGGAAGACTCTCATGGACCCGGGTAGAGGAACATCGTCTTCCATAGGGCCAGACGTTTTCAGGGTCCGTGGAAGTGTTCGGGTCGATGGAGCTCCTTTCCCGTCTCCAACGTCTCCCGTCTCACTCGTTCTCTCTTTCGGCCTCACCGGCACCAGGCACTGCTCAAATAAGGGGTTCTTGGCGATGAACCACTGCTGCATCTGCTGCACATTTCGACGGATCCTGGGCCATGCAGCCACGAATCATCACTCATCCACAGGTCAGGTGGACCTCATTCTACTAAAGTTTTGGCACACAGCAACGCTACTCCAGGAGCTTTTCAAGGAGCTTTCCAAGATACAATGCTTTTACTATGTTTTTACTGGGTCAGACTGGACAAGATTAGGGACTCATCCACCCATACACCAACTCTGTAAGACCAGTCATCTATTCAGGTCTTCGATCCCTCAGGCAGGGCCACCACATGGCCCATCAAAAACCTGGTTTTCCCTGGCAAAAAAAAAATAGTCTTTGTAGGTGAAAACCTCTATTTCTTATGGTTTTGAGGGCCACTGGAACCTATTATGTTCCAAAAAACCTGCCACCGCCTGGGCTGTCTGCTTCCGTCCTCCTGCTTCGGCTCGTCCGGAGGAGTCTGGGACAACAGCCGAGTCTCATCCGCGAGAAGAGCCGGATCGCGACGAAATGACTGGGACGCGCACGGGGCGGAGGCCTCGCGACCACGTTGTAGCCTGGGAGATGGGGTGGCCCAAGGAAAAGGAAGGTCCCCAAAAATCGAGATATAAAGATCATGAAGCATCGTGTCCAAAAGACTGGACAACCACCCACAAGGGGAAAAAAGAACAAAACGATTCAAGAAACCCTACATATAGCCCCAGAAAACAACAACTCATCTTTGAATGGAATCTCCTTCCGCCACTTCCGCCGAGTCGCGCGAGTTCCGGCGTCCTTTGCCGCCTTTGCCCTTGCCCTTGCCCTTGCCCTTCTTCCCAGTCTCCTCCCCTCCAGCCAAAAGGTCTGGAGGTGGCTCCTTCTCACCACGCTGGACGGCCTCCGCTGGGCGCTGGACGGTGACGACCAAAAATTCCAGCGCCGGCTCACAACAACTGTGCTATACCTTCCAAGAGAGGTAGCCAGTGACCTGAACTAGGACCTGTCACCTGGGGTACCCAACTGGGATGGGCGAACTCGGGTCCTGACCCACCTCTGTTGGTTCCAACCAACATGGAAAAGTGGAACAGTGGATCACATTGCTGTTCAAAGGGGCGGATCCAAAAATGGGCTGAATTCCTCTTCTCTGAAGCACCACAAGCTCGGTGGCTCAAAGCGCAGGCGGGCCCCCTTAAGTACAGGTGTGTGTATACTTGACGTGTGGGATGGCTCGGATTTGCTTCAGGAACCTGGAACGAAACACCACCAGAGTTGAGGCAGATCCCCAAGGAATGTGACCTGTGACCTGCACCCTTCAGCCCGTTTTGTTTGAAAAAAAAACAAACACCGGCCTCCTGCTCATGCCAGAAGGCGTCAAAGCCCTCGGGCTTCTCGACTTCTCCTAAAGATTTCCCGGACCATGGATCCAGCGCTGCATTTTCAAAGGGGTCCATCGCCGCTGCGCTGCGACTCGACCGCTGCGACTCGCGACCGCGCAGGACCGAAGGACAGCCGGAGCGTCATGCTTTCCGTGGGCGGAAGAAGACGAAGAAAGAACTGGTGGGGAATGACTGGGACATGCTTTGGGGCGTTTTTGAGGACCTAATAGGAAGAGAAGGAAGAATCAAAGCAGTTTCCAAGGAGTTCACCAACATGTTCAAGAAAAGTCCTGTCTTTGTGATTTGTTCTTTCTTCTGGAAGAATACAGCTTCACAAACCAGAAATGACTTGAAAAAGCATTCCAAGAAGAGTCTTTCTGAACCCAACCTCCATCATCTCTGCTACCTACAGGTGGCATGGCACTCGACATGCTGCTGACTGAGTGATGCCAAATGTCGTTAAATGTCCAACTGTGACTGGGGAGCCATCGCACTTGAGCCATCGAGCTTCGACTAGTCTGTGTCGCATGAAGTGAGATGGATTCAGCTAGCTCTTCCGCTCGCTGCCGAAGCTTACCAGCCACATGTCATGACAGCCACTCAACCACGAACCAACAAGCTCCCGACCCGGGCGACGTAGCCCGGAAATGCACCTGGCGGATGGTGAGAGGCAGAGCATGTCGCAACCAAGGAAGACAAAGCATCCCTTGCATGTGCCGCAGGCAAGAGTCCTTTTTGGAAGCTTATGGAAAACAATAGCGCCCACATCGCGAGGTGGTTCTACTTCTTTGTGGACTTCGATCAACGTCAAAGGTGTCTGATGCACCAGTGGCAAGTGTGTCCTTAGCATGATCTTTCCTCGATCATTTCTGTGTGTTCAATATCATTGATCCTCCTTTCATGAGCCTTCTCCCACAAACTGACGTGAGCTCTGGACCTCCAAGATCTCGCAGGAGTGCGGTGCTTCTCTCGCAAATCCATCAAGTCGGCGAGTTCCTCGCTGCCTCTGGTATGAGAACATGTTCTTTACATGTGAAAAACAAGGCCGAGGAGAAAAGGGCAACTAAGGTTCTGCGGTTTGACATGGAAAAAAATGTACAGCTCTCTATCTCTTTGGAGCCAACTTATCCCCGACGAGAATCATTGATCAGATATCGAAAGCAAAACTAACTCGCAAGTCTCCAAAAGCAACCCTCCTGTTACTGTAACCCTCTGGCAAATCATGGAAAAACAATGATCACTCCAAACCTCCCAAATCAAATTTAAAGAACATATAGATGCAAATCACCCCACCCCCCACCTCTGCTCGTGCACGCCGTCGATCTCCCATCGAGGCACACGGCGGGCTCACACCGGGCTGCGTGCCAAGCCCAGTTTCCAAATGTGTCCAAGATCTCTTCGTCGGAACGGATCGTTTTGAACATTGCTGGAATTTCTTCAACACTTGTGAAGGGTTGCCATGGAACACCTCTCAGCACCTCTCACCTCGATACAAAGCCTCCACGGAACACCTGCCATCTTTCGACCAAAAAAACGGCTCGAGCCTCCATGGGTCGGGCAACACAGTCATCGTGATCTATTTGAATCCCATAGGGTTTTTGATGGTTTTTGCCAAGTGCTCCAGGCAGCACGAGACATCCGCCAGAGAAGCCGCGCCTCCAGGCAGGTCCGTGCACCCACCTGACCCGCCTCGGCCCCGGACTCGGCGTCGCTTTCACTTCGGACTCCACTCCATCCATCGCTCCCCACGCAGCTCAGGCGGTCCTTTTTGGGTCCGACCACTCGGGGCGGTCGCGGCACCGGTCGCGCCTCTGGTCTGGAACGGTCCACCGACGCCTGGAGGGCTGTGTGAACCACATCTTCCTTCGTATGAGAGGGCTCCTTCCCAGGTGGTCCACTTCCACTTACCTCCAACCCCATCGACCAGAACGGTCTCCGCTCCCCCCAAGCCCTCCCCCCTCCCCTCCCCCGCTCTCTCCGCTCTCCGCTCTCCGCTCTCCGCGCCGCGTTGCCGGCGGCACCGCGGCGCCGACGCTTCCGGCTCACCGGAGGGGGGGGGGGGGGCGCGTCTCGGGCCTGGGGTCGGACGGGTCCGAGTTGGTCAGAGGAGACCAGTCGGCACGGACGGATGCGGTGGAGACGGGATTGGGTGAGCCAGGGATTGGCTGAAGGAACCAGGAAAAAGGGGTTTTAAAAGGAAACCACACAAAATAGATCAAAAGAATCACCTGGTATTCCAGCCAAAACCGGGTGTTGTGTTTCTGTTTTTTTCTTGTTTTTTTTCGAAGACCCGAGATAGTTCTGTGGACCCTCTTCAAGGATGGAGCCTTTGGACCCCGTGGGCAATAGCAGGTTTCTGCACAGCACCCACAGCCAGCTTTGCTTGACCCGCATGGACACTGGGGAAGAGTGCTCACCAGGGGAAAACCTGCTACTGCTCCAGCTTCCAACGATTCAAGAGATCTGCCTGTTGCTTCCCAGAAAGCCAGCGCCCGGGGACAGGGCAGACATCCTTGTATGAAACAGGTCAGATCCAACACCTATGACCTCCTTCCCTACATCACTCCACCCAGCTCCACCCACCTCCAACACCAATCCCATGTCCTCGCTCCCATCGAGCTCCCCACCAGCCTCTGCCAGGTCGGATGGAGCCTCGGCGGCTGGCTGCCACGAGCGCCGCAAGCTCGTCACCAGCTCCTCCTGGACGGAAGCGCCGCCAGTCGTCGGATGTGATGCGCTGGGAGTTCCGGTCGCCGCACCAGGAATTGGACGAAACTGACGGTTTTTAACACGTTCGTCACGGACCTTCCTGTTGGAGCATCAAGAAGTCTCAAGTCTGTCGCAGCTAGAGCCAGGTCGGGAGGTCACCAGGTTGGTGCCTCCACTGACACATCCACCAGGACCTTCAGTACGTGACCAGACCTTTTGAGATCCCAGTGGCTGAGGTCACTTATATAGTCCCTAAAGAGGTCACAAACAGAGACTCCAAACAGGTCACGTACGTTTCAGGTCCTGGAATCTAGGTCACCAAAGTGTTCATTGTCTTGAAAGTCTAGGGGGTTCGTCTTCTTGGGGGCGCCCCTGTTCTTCGGAATGGTTCTCCCTGCCAGACGATCTCTCTCTCTCTCTCTCCAAAGAAAGGCTCCGCAAAACGCGGCGCGCACCGCGACTGGGGACGCGGCCACTTGCTGAGTGCCCAGACTGGACCTTGGAGGTCCGGGGGGTAGCTTAGGGACCATCCCCCCCCTTCCAAAGCTGACCCCAAACAACCGCAGTCAAGGCGGTCCACGCGGGACAAGCCGAGTCCGGAGTCCGCTCCACACGGGGCTTGCCACGACGAACCGAGCTCTTGGACCGTTGGACGAAGGAGACGGGTCAAGCACTGCTGGGTCGAAGGGAAGATCTTCGTCAACTCCCCAAGTCATCTGGAACCAGCAGTCACCAAGCGGTGCTATCCATGGAGGGTGCCCCTGTCACATCCACTCACGGGATGGGACGAGCCACACCACCCCGGGCTCTGTGACTGTTGGAAGGTCCGCTAAGTTGATATGAAAGATGAATCAATGATGGATAGCCTCCGAACTATCACTGGAAGAGTTCAAGCTCCAGCTTTCGCCATCTTCAGAAGACCAAACGAGCCTCCTCTTCAGCTTAATCTCTATGCAAGACCACCTTCAAAGCGTACTGCCAACCCTACCAGCTTCCTTCCTTCCATCATCCTTTGTGGAGGTCCGCCACTCTCCTTTCCCTACATGATCACCCGCCCCCGGCGGCCACTTCCCACCATGTACGGCCGGGCATCCCGGCCGCTTGCAAAAGTGCTTCCGCGCCACCTCCTCGGCCAGGTCTGCCAGGCTCCTGGGGCTTACGCAGACTGCACTTCCCCGCGCGCAGACGGCGCGCTCGGCGCCCAGCTTAACGGGGGAAGGGGGGGGAGGGGCCATTGCTACGAGCTTGGGAATCGAACATCTGATCTGGGTCTGCCAGAAAAGCTTCAGAAAGTAGTGTGGAGCCCACTCCTGTTCCACCAACTTCACCACCCATCATCACCAGGTTTAGTTCGAGAGAAAGTGTCTACCATTGTCAGAACACATGGGGAGCGTGGGCACAACTTCCCTCTTACCAAAAAAACAAACAGTGTCCCTGACTCTTTCACTACCTTCAAACAATAAGTAAGCCCTAGCCGCTCTGGCCTTCCAAGACCATTGAAGGAAAGGTTGATCTGGCTCGGTAGTCTAATTTGTTGTGGTAAAACAATGGTTGCTTGGGATTCAGACCATTCAAACATATTCAAACCAATGCTTCGTGGAAATGGGCATCGTCACCCCCCAACCCCCCCCGGCTTGCCCCCCCCCCCCCACTCCCGGACTCCTCCTGTCTTGCGCCTTCTTCATCGTCTTCAGGATCCAACCCTGGCCATCACCGAACCGCCGAACCTCCGAACCCCACTGGTCCGACCCCCCGGCAGCACGAGAACCCTCCGGTCTGCCGGTCCAGGGTTCAGTCCCGTCCATCGGTTCAGTCCCATCTGCCGGACCGTCGGGTGGGGGGACGTAGACGCTAGAAGCCCGACTCTTCTTGGATCTGGGGGCTGAGAGGGATGAACCAACATGAAGGTGCCATCAGACACGGCGGCTGGGGGGGGGGGCCCATGGAAGGAAACACGGAACCAAATAACTCGTAACTCGCCCTGGGAGCTGAGGGCGAAGACCCATGTTGAAAACGGTCTGACTAGTAGGTGATCTGTGTGAGTGAAAAGGAACTTCCTGAACACTTGGGTGGTGCCGAAAATCGTCGACCTGGACTTCTAGGGTCCTGAACTGACTTATTGAACTTTTGTTGGAGTTGAGTTATATGACATATACATGCCACGTGTGTGGGTATTCGTTCTTCGCCAACCCAACGTTGACGCTCGGCCACCCAGCCGGCCCCTCGGCCACCCTGGCCTTCGCCATCTGCGATTGGGGACCTGCCATGGGCCAACGGTGTATCGCAGCTGCTGGGCAGCTGCTTGGAATTTCCTGCTTGGAACGTTTAGCTCAATCATCCAAACACATGGATGGTCGAATCAAGACTGCATGGATTGCTTACTCATCAAGCCATGTAACACCTACAACCAAACATTCCGCTCACGTCTCCATTCCTCGCCTTGGCTGAACTGCCCGGTGAGCGTGGACTC